TAATATTTGTTTATTATTAATGTGTGGTTCACGAACTAAAGAGTTTCTAATTATAAAAGTAAAGTAAAATTTAATATGATACTATATTTTAGTATCTCATATATTAATTATCTGTTGTACATATTTTTCAAAACTTAACTAATAATATATAAGTAGCTAGAAATAATATTTTTATAATTATTTAGTGTCGAGATATATTTTCTTTAAATCTAACTTTGATACGATTCAAATTAAATTTTTTGTCTTACCCATAAAAAAAACTCAAATTCAATTAAGAAAATTTGGTTTGATCGGATTACAACCTGTTGATTTTTTTTTACAATCCTTATTAACTGATCATTTTTCCCATATGTAATGAGGGTAAGGGGAGGTAGAATAGTAGGATGACCCCAACACTAGATTGAGAGCAGTTTACGTAATAAATCTCGAAATTATTAATTATCTCAAAATTTATAAAAGTACACAATTATCTAAACACAATAATAAAAATTACACAAATTAGATAAATATCTCATTATAATCTAAAAGTGAAAATTTCATTATCTCATCTTTTTAGTTTCCTTTTGTTAATTAATTTTCCATTTTCTCTCTCCCCAGACAGAAAACCTTAAAATTCAGGGAAAGGAGAAAAAAGAAGGAAGAGGTTTGCTTTTTGTTATTTTGCCGATTCGGTAGTTTTCAATGTTTGCTCTTTTTTATTGTTATTTCCAGATCAACGAATTTTCTATAACTGCTGTTCTTTTGGGGGTTGATTTTCAGGGTTTCCATTGCCGCTTTTGTCTCAGCTCTCACTTCAATCATGGATCATAATTGAACTCATTCAAAGGATTTTTATTTTGAGAAGTTTCTCCCAAAAGAATTGTCAAGGCATGGTAATTGAATTACTACTTCTTTTAATTTCTTTTTCTGTGCTTTTTGAATGAAATTGATAGATTTGGGTTAATTTATTGTAAATTTAGTTTTTTTAATAGTTTTGTTGCTAATCAGTTTCAATTGCAAATTAATGTTCAACTACTGTATTTATTGAAAGAATACACTAGTATAAATAAAATGTTAACTAAGCTTGAAGTCTAAGTCACTCATCTGCAAAAATTATTTATTACTGATATATGATTGGTGTTATTTGTGAGAGAACTATAGTGCATTAAATGCAATTTTGATTTTACTCTCATTTTTCAATGAATTTATTTATTTCATTGTTTCTGTAAATTGGTCTCTTTGGTATGTTCTACTTTCCATATAAGGCAAAAGGGTTTAATTTAAGTTCCAAAGAACGGAACGATTTCGCCCTTTTCAGAATAGAATTCGTATTTGATAAGCGATTTAAGACTCCGTTTGCTGAATTTTAGGGTGATTTCGTTTCCTGAGTACTTGATTTTAATCTTTCTGTATGATGAGTTCTCTCTGTCATTTATAATTTTTTTATTTATAGGGTTGCACCTATTTTATCCAGGCGAGTTTTTTTTCCTTTTATCGATTTTAATCTGTTTATGCATGCTTTTGCAATTCTTATATCAACATTTGAATGGAGTAGTGTTGTTGTTGCTCGCTTTTTAGTTCTTCTTTGATGCATAAAAAGTAGTAACAAATGAGCTGTTTCTTTTAATTATTCGATTTGTTTTAATTTTTTGACTTTTCAATGCTTTTTCTGGTTTTAGGTTTTAGACGGTTACCTGTCAGTAACAATTTGTGTGTGATTGCAAAGAGATGGATCACACAAAAAATGAGAGGGGAAATGGAATGTTCCCTAAGGATCAAATGTTATCGCCATTAATCGATGGTGGTGACTTCGAAGCATCTACAGACGGGGAAGTTGCATTGAAGAAAGGCCCATGGACAGCTGCTGAAGATGCAATTTTGATCGACTATGTGAAGAAACACGGGGAAGGCAACTGGAATGCTGTTCAGAAGCACTCTGGACTACTTCGTTGCGGAAAAAGTTGTCGGTTACGTTGGGCAAATCACTTGAGGCCGAACTTGAAGAAAGGGGCATTTACTCAAGAAGAGGAACAACTGATTATTGAACTCCATGCAAAGATGGGAAATAAATGGGCTCGGATGGCTGCTCATGTAAGTGTTCAGTTCATTTACTGCGAATCTGGCAATTCTCTTAAATGGTTAAATAAAAAACTATTGAACTCATATAAAGTTAAATATTACATTGAGAAAAAGGACACTTAAAATTTGTATCAAATCAAGATATATCTGTAGAACTACCCTGCCCTTTTGTATGTAGTTATACTTTACTTTTTCATTCTATCTGAACTCCCGTTGCAGCATATGTCCATCATTATTCTTAAGCAATGAACTAACTGAAAGATCTAAGGTTTAGTTATGTTCTCACTGTGGAATGTTGAAAGTGTTTTTGATTAGTATCCTCGGTTTCAGGGAGATTAAACGGAGATGGTATTTTTTAGTGTCTTTAGGAATTAAAGTTCATTAAGAGTTTCAATGTGTCTTCATACATAAGAGCAATGCTATTATTGGCCAGTTGCAGTGGTCGACATTATAAAAATCCTGCTCCTTATCACGTTGTAGTCTGTTTGTGCTAGATGCAGAGTAATATCAATTTATGCCTTCCAGAGCTCTGTGACATCTTTCCAACCTTCAGTGTCTGAAGTAAGTTTCTCTGTGCTTTGTTATTTTTTTGCAGTTGCCTGGTCGTACAGATAATGAGATAAAAAATTATTGGAATACACGGATTAAGAGACGTCAACGTGCTGGGTTACCTCTGTATCCTCCTGAAGTGTGCATGCAAGCATTGCAGGAGAGTCACCGTACCAGTGCAGGTATTGATGGGGATAAAGGACCTCATGGTATCTTGCAGAACGACAGCTATGAGATACCTGATGTTGTATTTGACAATTTAAAGGCGAATCAAAATGTCTTGCCTTATGTCCCTGAACTTCCTGGTATATCAGCCAGTGGCATGCTAATGGAAGACCTAGGTTCCTCTCAATATTGTAGTTTCATGTCACCAACTATCTATTGCCAGAAGCGTCTTCGTGGACCAACAGCGTTTTTCCCTGGTTATACTGGTGCTGTTAAAAGTGAATGCCCCTTGTTTGAGCAATTTGAGGATGGTATGTTAAACAAGGCTGCTCAGTCCTTTGGGGCATCCTTTCCCATTGGACAAGATCCTGCAGCTAAGAACTCCCAGTCATTTGGTGTATTCCAAGGAAGCCATTCCCTTCCAAATGGCAATTTCTCTGCTTCAGAGCCCACTTTGGAGGCTGTGAAGTTAGAGCTCCCTTCATTCCAAGATCCAGAAACTGATTTCGGTAGCTGGGGCACTTTATCTTACTCACCACCTTTACTCGAGTCTGTTGATGCTTTTATCCAGTCACCACCACCAAGCGGTGGACTGGAGTCGGATAGTCTTTCACCCCATAATAGTGGTCTGTTGGATGCTATATTTCACGAGTCAAAAACTCTAAGCGGTGCAAAGAATCATCCATCTGACCAGAGTTCAAATTCTACAACTCCTGGTGATATAAACGAAGGTTCAGATTTCAACATTTGCAAGACAGCTTGGGAAAACTGTGGTGAGCCTATTTCTCCGTTGGGTCATTCAGCCTCTTCTCTTTTCAGTGAGTGTATGAGTATCAGTGCGAGCGGCAGTTCGCCATATGAACCGTCATCTGGTGAAACCTTTACTGGTGAGCATCTCTCTGATCTGGACTTGTTAAAAAGGAGACTCGATTTACACTTTTCATTCATTATCAGAAAAAGAAGTATCTTTAACGCTATTAAAAGTTGATCATTTGCCTCCAGCAACTTATATCCTTTAGCTTCCAGTGATGTCTAAACTATTTGAATTGACAGAGAATTTAATATAGTTTCCCTATTTCTTGCCCTAGTTATCGAGTCATTAGTAGGAAATCTTGGTTTAACAACACTATCACCATGCTTTATTTTCATTTTGCTCCATCTTTTATATAATCAAAATTGATTACATTTTTCACCAGATGTTAATGATAGTCATTGAACTAATATTTCAAGTTTAGTGAAAGAGTGAATCATGCATGATAAAAAACTTTCAATTGTTTTTCAATGATTTTTTTAACTTGAATTTGATTTTTTCAGAGTCTCGTCGAAAATCTGAACCAGCTAACAATGTCTTGATACCAGAGATACAGAAAGAGGCTCGTATTCAGTTGGACAGTGGTCACTCTGATACATTACTTGCTTCTGATTGGCTTGAACAGGGTTCTCGTTACGATCCGGACCAAACAGTCATGGCTGATACCATAGCAACCTTTCTTGGTGATGATTTGAGTGGCGAGTACAAGAATATGGCGGCTGGAACATCTATTTCAAGTCCAGAATGGGACCTTGGTTCATGTGCATGGAATGATATGCCTTTTGTCTGTCCAATGCCCAAACTCCCTTGAGATCTGCTGTTGTTTCATTCATTCAGTAATTGTTTTCGATTCGAGCCCGATATACCAAAGTTCATTTGGGATGAGACTAATATGACGTGAGTCATGGATGTTTGGCGTATTGTTTTTGATGAGTTTTTTTCCTTGAACTGTTGGATACTTGTATGCCATTCAGGAACTTTCAGGTATACAAATGTATTCAAGCTGTTGTTATAATTTTGGAATAACTATGCACTTTTAGCATGGAATCCGAACAATCATGTTGCTTGTGTTCTTCATATTTCTTGAAGTATTCATGGTAATTTGATATGATTTGAATCCATGTTTCCTAATTCATAACAATGAAAAAGGTCCTAATTGACAGTGAATCAAGAACCATGTAGAATTTTCCAACACAGAAGTGTAACATTGCTTATCAAACTCCCTGAATCCCTCGACGTAACTGACACGAATCTGATTCAAGATAAACAGATTGTCATTACGAATATCTTTCATGATCGAGCCCACTGCCGGATGCAGATTTAGCGAAAAAGGCAGAAGTGCTCGATGTTTTCCAAATTTGCGGTGATGGCGGAAGTCTAACATTAAAATGACTAAGGTTACTTGCAGGGGCAGTTTCTATGGTGAAGACTGAATCTTCATCACCGGGAGATTGCGATCGTGATTGCGGTTGTGAATCACATGAGCCCTGCTCACAGTATCTGACTGTGCAGGTGAGAAATCTTTGATGCTACAAGTGCTTTCAGGATTCGTTATGTAGCTCAAGGCAAAAACAACCTGCAATGATTATTGCTTATAATAAAGATTCAGATTGTTTTGATCTATGTTCAAAGAGGATGGTAAAGATTGATCTGTTAGTGCTCTTTATTTGTTCGAACTTTTCATTTTTGTTGAAGTATCTTTGTCCGACACTCGTTTGATACATGAATACAGGGTATCTGGGTATGTTGATGTCTTAAGTATCAATTGTAGCACTGAATCATGATTTGAATAAACTTGTTGAAAACTTACCTTATCCATTGATAATCTCTTCTTAGGATCCTTGATGAGACACTTCTCGGCTACTCGAACCATCCAAAACAGTTGATGAACGTCATGTGAATCGAGGATCCTTTCGTCGATCAAATCCGGGTAGTTCCTGTCCTTCAGTAGTGGTCTTGCCTGCATGAAGATCAAAATTTCAGTAATAGAATAACTCTGTGACCTTTCTATGTATTACTCGTTTTCTTGGTGTTACTCTTTAGCTGGTAAAAGTTGGACCTAGTTTACGTTTTTCGGATTGTATCAGTGTCAGATACGAGTATATATCTTTCCGGTATTGAGAGTTTTACCCATCCAACAAGGCTTTTCCCTCCAAGCCTTTTGTCTGTGGTCTTCATTCCGGTGATGAGCTGCAATAGCACAACTCCGAAGGAATAAACATCTGTCTTGGTCGACACTTTACCACATTCAGCGTATTCGGGTGCCAAGTATCCTAATGTTCCAACTACTCTTGTTATCGTCTCCGATGACTTATCTGAACCTTTATGTTGGGTTCTTGCCAAGCCAAAATCTCCCAGCTGAAATAGTGAATCGGTTACGGGCTTCGATAAGTTGAGGTAAAACAACAAATGTACTTGCAGAAGACATGAATGCAGTCTGATTATTACCAGTGGTTCGAACTCGTGGGTTACGAGGATGTTGTTCGGTCTTATGTCTCGATGGATGATATTGTTTTCGTGCAAATATTGCAAGCCCGTTGCAGCTCCCAGTGCTATCTTAACCCTCTTTTCCCAACTAAGAGTTCTTCTTGAGTGCTCTGCAAGTAATTCAGCAAGAAATAACATACATACATCGATTAGATGTTGATAATTAATCGCAAAAGAGAGGTAAAAATCTGAGGTGTCGTGTAGAATGAATCATTACTCGATAAATGACGGTCAAGTGAACCATTGCAGACGTATTCGTAGACAAGTAGCCTGTGGTTTCCTTCGGAGCAAGAACCAACCAGCATGACCAAATTCTCGTGTCTCGCCGTCCGAAGCACGTTAACTTCGGATTTGAATTCTTTCTCACCCTGGAGACTTGTGTTGTACTTGTGTTGCTTTACAGCAATTTTCATCCCATTGATCTCTCCCCTATAGACGGATCCAAATCCACCTTTGGATAGGAAGTTCTTAGCATGGAACCCTTCTGTAGCAGCTACGAGCTCTGCATACGTGAAGTCTCTCATCCATCCGATCCTCGGCCTTAGATTTTTGCATATTGAGCAAAGGGAATTTTTGAAAACTTGATCCACTGGATTTCCCCCCATCCAATCATCGTTTTGGTTATGTTGCTTCGAATTTTCATCCGGACTATGCTGGTTTTTTTGGTCTCCGCTTTCATCGATGGATACTGGGGAATATTCTCCTCCCGTTTCTGGCCCTGTAGTTGTACCGTGTTCTTCATCATGAACATGCAAGGACAAGGACTTTGGTTCGTTACAACCCGAAACCGATGCTCTAGTACCGGCAATACTCGGTGCTGAAGATGAACGTGAGACGGATTTCCTAATGCCCTCCCCTCCATGTCCTGCAACAAAATGACATTACGATTTCTTGATAGGAAAATAGTATATATTTTCACATTGCATTCCAAATAACTTACTCCGCGGAGACGATTCATCATCGGCAACCATTTCCGCATAAGTCACGTTACTTCGACTCGCAGCCGGGAGTCTGAAATTATCCCTTACATTTGGTCCTCTTAACTCTACAACATTGCAGTCTTCCTTCCATCTTACAACATTACATGATAGGTTCTGTATAAAGTACCTTTGGTCATTCTTCATGTGCCTGTCTCGAAGATAGATTAATATCCGAATTTAACTTCGAATTATTTCAGTAGTAAACAATTTATATTATTTAAGTATAAAAAAAATAGATGGAATATCCATAAATATCCGAATTCTCATGTAATTTTTCGAGTTTAAAACACATACCTGTCAAGTACTAACCAAGTAGCACGAAATTTTTTGACAAATCTTGCAGCAACCTCCTTTAATGGATAACCTGCTAACATCTCTATCCGAAATTGTATCTGAAAAACAAAAACCTACATCAAATATGCCATAAATTCAACATTTAACCATATATATATATATATATAGTTTTAAATCAATAATTTGTGCTTGTAGATTAATCAGATTTGATTAGAAAAGGTTGAATTTTACTGATTATTACGGAGTCAAGCTCATATAGTTTAAATGAATCAAATTCAAGTATTTTAATAATTAATTTGTTTAGTTTAAGAATCTAGTAAACACTTTACATTTTAAGATGTTAATGTGGATTTATTGCTCATCGTTACTTTAATAAACATTTGAGCTCAAAATTTAAAAATTGAAACTCAATGAACTCCAGCCAAATTATGAGCTTCAAGGGTTTTTCATAAAGTTTTTTATTACTTGAGCTCGGGGTCATAATTAGCGGTGGTAACAGACTGGGATGGATTGAAATATTTTAGTCAAAATATCAATAAAATAAGAAAAGGAAGGCCATAGCTCATTTCTTATGTAAGGTTTTGCTTCTAACGATACAAAAATGGTTCAAAACAATATAGATCTATAATCTCTAAAATGTGATCCTAATATTTAGATCTAATCAAAAGAAAATTCCTTCATAATCTTTTTATCTTGAGAGTCGATCGTCCAAGGAAAAGAGAAAGTCAAAGAATAAACAAAAAGGTAAATAAAATGACATTCGAAAATAAAAGAAATTCATCAAATTGAAAATTTTGACGTAAATAATATATAGAATGACATTTGTGTATATACTTTAGACGGAGCAGGTCAATTTCAAGTCAATAATGTATAGAGCAAGTGATTAAAAGTTATTAGTTGGCACCTCTCATCTCCTTTAGACTACAACTTTAATATCAATTAAAACTCTACTTCTTCTCGATCAAAATTCTACTTTCCCTCTCTTAGGTAGAATTATTTAAAAAAGAAGTTAATTTCAAAAAAATAAATTAAATCAAATATTTAAATATCTCCATTCATAACTTATACAGTGCTTTGACTATTTAAATAAAATCAAATGTTTAAATGTTTAAAATAAATTTGGTCATATGTATTATTATTTTGGGTAAGGTATACAAATAGTCATTCGACTATAGGGTATTGCTTTGTTGAGTTCTCCAACTATTAAATGTTGCAAAATGACCATTTGAATATAGGGCGTTGCATTGTTGAGTCCTCGACGATTAAAGTTACAAAATAGTCACCCGACTATTCATATGTTCCAAAGTCATTATTTCACGTTAAAAAATTTGAAGGCAGTTTGACGTTAATTTGCTGACTGTGATATGATAAAATCTGATCCCAGAATCTGAAACGACTATCATATCTCAACCAATATATAACGTATCTCAGACGACCATCAATTTTTTTAACAAAAAAGGATAAGTTTGGAACATATGAATAGTCAGGTGATAATTTTGTAACTTTTAATAATAAAAAGACTCAACAAAGCAATGTCGTATAGTAAAAAACCTATTTTGTAACTTTTAATAGTCGGGAAACTCAACAAAACAATATCCTATAATCAATGACCATTTGTGTACTTTACCCTATATATATATTTATCTAGGAAGCTATACCTGCTCCTTTTCGCATTGCCGGGATATTCTCACAATCTCACCATTCTTTTTGTGCTCTTCTAACTTCTTCCTCGTTTCTTCCTCGGCAATCTTTTTGTTTGGTCCAAAAATTGACCCCACTTCAAGCTTAGATCTAAATCCCACTGAACATAAGGGAAAGAAACCATTAATGAAGATGAAAGAAACTGACGAAAGGAACATCATAAAATATCATTATCTGGAAAAATATCAAAATAATTACCTATATTGTGATTTAAAATATATATATAATTTTTTTTAAGTTAAACTAAGTTGTTTCAATAGTAGAAGTAAATGTTGTTCTCTCTAAAAATTTTGGGTTTGAACAACTACATCTGTAGTGTAAGTGAGTTGTCAATAGATTAAATATATAATCACATCAGACTATTTAAAAAAAGATAATGTCTATAACAATCTTTATTTTGTATTTAAAAGTTCGTTTTTGTTTTCCCATTATAAAAATGAATATTTAGCTTTTATACTATACTTAAAAATTCATTTTAGTCTCTCTATTATAAAAAGTAGCATTTTAATTTACATATGTTTGAAAAGTTAAAATTTTGGTCCAAAACACTAAATTTATTGTTTGTTGGCTTAAATATTTTGGTTCAAATACTTTTTAAGCCACTTTCAATTTTGAATTCGAGCAAACTAATCTCTCAAAATAATTTTTTAAACACTTATGAAATCTAAATATAAAATAATTCATACTCTCACCTCTGTTGTCTTAAATTAGAGTAATGCCACAGTTTAAAGGCCAAAACATAAAAAGATTAAAATGTTTACATGAAAAATGTACATTATATTTTATTTGAAATTTTAAATTTGAAATAAGTAAGAGCAAGGATTAACTAAAAAGAAGATTATACAAAAATCATAAAAGTATTTAAAATTTGAGTTAATTGCATCACATGTCCTCAAAGTATGATCCTCATTTTAAATTGGTCCCTAAACTTGTAAATATTTCAATTACATCCCTAAACTATGACTATCAATCTATCATTCTAAATTAGTCCTTAAACTTTTAAGTATTTCAATTTCATCCCAAACTATGACCTTCATTCTAAATTAATCCCCAAACTTTTTGAGCATTCTAATTTTATCCCAAACTATATGTATATACTAATCACATCATTTGTTAATAAAATCGATAGGCCAAGTTATATTAGTATATGTTTGAAAAAAAAATCAAAATTTAAGTTAAACTATGATCGAAACTAATTACATATTTGGATAATTTGGGGATGAAATTGGAAGATTAAAAAGTTTAAGGACCAATTTACAATGAGGGTTATAATTTGAAGACATATGATACAATTAATCAATAAAATTTTATTAAATTATAAAAAATAAAATTATGAAGGAAAAAATATATAATTTTTGTTTTCATTTTATTTAAAAAGTTATCCAATTATAATTGAATACATGTGCGAAAAGATTAACATAATCATGGATTGTTCTTATTCATCCACTTTCAAATATATACACGGAATAAATTAGACTTTTTTAAGAGGGACTGATTTGCTAAATTTTAAAATTAATATAAACTTAAAAAAATTTAAAAAAAAATTGAATCACTAAATGAACCAAGCATAATAAAATGGAGCAATCAGATTAAATCCGAGTTCATTCCGTTGTCCTTTTTTCATGGAAACAAAGGAAAGCAAGCATGGATTCTTACTGAGTTTTCGAGCTCCCATGAAAGAAAACGTACTAGGAGTAATAACCTGGTGAAGAATTCCAATTGCACAAAGCTTGTCTCCAGATTTGAGTGATAAACCCACCAGGGGCCATTTTATTATGCTTGGATTTAGCTCCCTCGACCCGTCCAGGATCACCACCACTCTCTCCCCCGCCTCTGTTGTTCCCATCTTGCCTTTCTTGTTTCAATTTTTTTTTTCACAATCAAACAATACAAGCTCAAAGTTTTATTCAGAAATATTCACAAACACATGGTGTGCATGCATCAAATCCAATTCTTTTTCAGTTTTCTGCCATAAAAAAGAGATAAACGAATATTATAGAATAAACTAAAAAATGGGTTCCTTGAATTTGAAGAAGATGGTTCAAGAGGAGATCATAGAGAGATGGGTGGTGAATTCAAGCTCAAAGATTTATTCAGAAACATTCATAAACACATGGTGTGCATGCATCAAATCCAATTGTTTTTCAGATTTCTGCCAGCAAAAAAGAGAGAAACGAATGTTATAGAAGAAACTAAAAAATGGGTTCCTTGAATTTGAAGAGAATTGTCCAAGAGGAGATCATAGAGAGATGGGTGGTGAATTCAAGCTCAAAGTTTTATTCAGAAATATTCACAAAAACATGGTATGCATGCATCAAATCCAATTCCTTTGCAGTTTTCTACCAGAAAAACGAGGGAGAAACGAATATTATAGAATAAAAAAAAGGTTCTTTGAATTTGAAGAAGATGGTTCAAAAGGAGATCATAGAGAGATGGGTGGTGAATCCAAGCGTATATTCTTAAGCATATCCAAGCTATGGATGGCCCCTGGGTGTTTCTGGTTGTATTGGAAGTATATTATAGCTTTGGGCTTTGCTATTTCATTGATGAAAACTATGTTTTCTTCGAATTATAAATTGCTAAATTTTCAAGAGATTCAATGTTCATAGATTAAATCGAAGCTCTCTTGGAGAATCCACTCCATGAGATTAGTTTATTGTTTTTTTAATTTAATTTAAAGGTTGGGTATGATTATGGATTTTTTAATTTTAGATGTTTAATTTTTTGTAATTATTTTTGTTAAAAATGTTGACGTGGTAAGTCTGCCACATCAGCACCTTATATGATCTGGGAATGTCACGTTAATATCTTTGTCTACCTTTTTTTGTCCATATGATTTTACTAGACATTGTTAGTCGATTAACCGCTTTTATTTAACGGCATCTTTTGATTCAAAATAAATTATTAAGAGTTAATATATTTTAAAATAATAGGAGTTAAAATGATTATTTTATTAAATATTAAGAATATTTTTTATTATTATACTTATTTCTTTATTAATTGATTCAATTTAATAAAATAAATAAATTTTAAGAACTAAAATGAATTTTAGTTGATAATATCGTTAAAAGCAACAACCGATAATAACTCTAAAAGAACTTATTTTTATAAATAATAAGAAAACATGAAGACTACTTATATTATACCAATAATATAGACTTCGTTGGTCAAATATATATGTTAATTGCATAACAAATTAAATATTAATGATATTTTTTGTTCTGAAAATGACACAATAGATGAAGAAAATTGACATGAATATTCAATTTTAATTTATTGGTTGATGATATCTATAAATTTATTTGTTTGTGTTTGAGATTCCTTATTTTGTTTTGATTTTGATAAAAAAATTTCTATGAATATTTAAATTCAGCTCAACTATCTAACCATAAATTAGAAGCGTAAATGAATGGAATTTGAATAATTGTGTTCGTGTTTAGTGGTTTATTTTTAAAGGTGATAATGTTTGGCTTGTGTTTGTTTATTTATTTTTAGAAATGATTTATGTTCGGTTTGTGTTCGTTTAATTTTAATATGATGTTCATATTTATTTTTGAAGGTGTTCATATTCGTTTGTTTAACGTTTACGAATATGTTTGTTTATATGTTCGTTTAGCGTTTGTAAACATGTCCGTATATATATTCGTTTAGTGTTCGTTTATATGATTGTGAACATGTTCATTTGTAAGCTAAAAATGATAAAACTACACCATCAATGCTTAAACTCCTTAAGTTTTATAGTTTAAACTTTAAATTTTACCACATGTTCAATTTAGTCATTACATACACCAATATTTTAAATGTAAAAAGTAAAACGAAAACGAGTCATTAAATGAGTTTGTTCATGAGCATAAATGAATGAGACGATAAACGAGATCATAAACGAGTTTGTTTATGAACATAAACAAACAGAAGACACATCTGTTTGTGTTCGTTCGTTTATTAAATAAACATAAAAATTGTCTATACTCGTTCATTTAAATTAACAAACGAACATTACATAAACTGTTACAAACAAACGAATAAAGTTGTGATCGAAAAATGGATTATGAAAAGCTATTTATTTAAGTAATTTCATGCTAAACTATGAGGTTGAAAGAATTTAAAATAAATAATTTATTTTACATGTAAAAGTATATAATTATAGAAAGGACTTGATATCCAAATAAGTGCTCATGCTATATATTTTTGTACCTAAATAGGCTCGTACAATATTTTTTTGACCATTTGGGTAGCTAACGTTATAAAGTGATCACTTTTGGTGCCCAGAACATAACGACAATTAGTTTTCTCTGTTAAGTGACACGTGTCACAATATGATAATTTTGAATTTTATTTTTGAAAAATATTAAAATATTATTATATTTATAAAAATAAAATCATATTTTCGTTTAAATTACAAAAACCCTCAAAATCTCTAAAATTCTCAAATCCTAACACTAACCCGTTACTGTCGCCTTTTTCTGATCACGACTGCCACCGCCGACTTAGTTGTCATCATCCTAATTATACATCGTCATAGTTGTCGTCGGTCGGTCATCGAAATTGAGTAGGATTACAATTTTTATTTTAGGATTCATGTGGTATAAAACGTTGATTCGCGTTGATCGATCACGATTTTATAGAGGTTTTAGTCGTCGAAGGGAGGTGAGATTGGTTGGAGCTTCGGTGGCGGCAAAGAGTGACGGTTGACGTGGATTTAAGTTTTGAAATGAAATTTTTTAAAGATTTGTGTCGTAACCGGTTTTCGTCCGGGCACGAAATATTTATTTGGCGGGAAAATTGAAGTGAATAAATAGTTTTGAAAATAAATAATTTGGGAGTCGCCATCGGCCTTTTGGGTTAGGTAGGTCGAATACCTAAAAATTATCTTTTAACAGAGTTTTTAAGAAAACATCAGTTAAAAGATGAACTGATCTGCGTTTATAACCAAAAATTCGTTCTTTTTAATAATAAAAAGGGATTCGTGGTCGATTACGTTTAGGGAAGGATTAGCACCCCTACAACGCCCAAAATTGGTACTTATTAATTATAAATTGTCTCTTATTATTAAAATTTAAAAATTCAAAAATATATTTAATTTATAACCCTATTATTTCAAAATTATATAAAAAATATTTATTTATTTAAAAATATCAGAAAAGAACTTCTAAGTGCCTTAAGACAGCTCTTTTCTTTGATATTGATAAATATTAATTTAAATAATATTGTTTAATTTTTAATTTTAAAATATCAGAATATGACATCCAGTTGTTTTAAGACTGTCATTTTCTTTGATATTGAAAACTAAATATTAAAATAATTTATTTAAATTAAATATTTATTTATTATATATTTATACAATATTTAAATATATAAACAAGTAAAAAAATACAATTCTAACTATATATTTAAAAGCAATAAAAAAATACATAAAATAAATGACTAAAATATAGTGAAATTAAAATTAAAAAACCTAATTCATAATTAATCAGAATTACAGGGATTAAACATGCTATTTTCTTTTTTTTGATAATTTAGTGACTAAAATAAAATTATCTAAAATTCGGATATTATAATAAAATAAATTAAAAATATAAACTAGGGATTAAAATATTATTTATTAAAACTAAAGGACTAAATACGTATTTATCCTAAATATATTATTTAATAGAAAGGACTAAAATAAATAAAATTAAAATTAAAGAACCGAATTAAAAGGATTATAAATTTGATTTAGTGACTAAAATGTAAGAGTTACAAGTTTGGATGGATGCGGAAAGGGTTTAACCTTTACTTAATTACACAGATACCCCTCCCCCTTAAACGACGTCGTATGGAGGAGGGTTTATAAACCCTAAACCGGCTGGCCCTTCGGGCCAACCATTCATTTCTTCATTTCTCTTCTTCTCTCAAACAGAGAGAAGATTTCTCTCTGGCTTCTCTCTAAAATTAGAGAGAAGCCGTCCCGGTCAGCCACCGCTGTCGGGCTCCGATCGCTGCCGCCGGCCACCGTTAACGGTGGCCGGAAATTACAAAACCCACCCCAAATCAAAGCCCTTATTTTTCTATATCTAGATCTAAGGTTGTTTTAGCTTAAAACCTTACCAATCGTCGTAGATCTAGGATATTTCTCTTCGACGTTTCGGTTCTCTGATGACTTGTGGAGGCTCTCACGACGGCGATTTCCTCGGTAAGTCTCTTTTTCTCTTCTTTCGGTTTGTATTTTCTGGGATCGTTGGTGTAGTTCTTGCTTTGTTGGTTGCTGTGTTCTCTTTCTCTGTCTTTTTTTTTCTGTTTTTTTTTCGTTCTCTGCCGTCCTCTTCTTTCTTGCAGGTGTGGTGGCTTTTATAGCCACCATTGAGGCTCTCGTCGGACCGGTTTCAGTGGGGACTTCTGGTGAGTCACCATAGCTATGGCGGTGACTCACCGTAGGGCTCGGTGTGGGTAGCTTCGTGGCGTTCTGGAGACTTCTTCATGGGAGTCGTGGTAGCAGGGGATCGTCGGCAGCATATGGTTGGGTCACCTGGCAGTGGGAGTGTCGGCAGAGGCGGCGGCTGGGCTTCTGGAAGCATCAGAGGCGGCTGGGGGGGCTAGGGTTTAGAAACCCTAGCTGAAACCCCAAATGTTTAGGGTTTCTGGTTAGTCTGGGCCGGTTCTAGTTTGTTTGTAACTGGGCCGGTTCAGTTTGTTTGTAATTATTTATTAAATAATAATAATATATAATATTAATAATAATAATAAATAATAATAATAATAATAATTATAATATTAATAATAATACTAATAATAATAATAATAATTTTAATAATAATAATAAATTTAAATGAAAAAAATGATGTCTACAATTTGGATTATTTCAAAATTTATATACTCTTTATAACAAATATATATATATTTTTAAAATTATCAATTTATGACACATGTCATTTAATGAAATAAATTAATACCGTTAACGACTCGAATACCTAAAATAATAACATTTATTTGTAACGTGTGAATAACCTATTCGAAAAAAGATATAATTTGGGAACTTATTAAGCCCGTATAAAATGTAATAACCCGCCATTTTCGACTGTAAAAGCCATGTCTATCTCGCTCAAACTTACGCCGAGCTTCGCTCTCCACGTCCCTCATCGCGTAAAATTTCTTTCTATTCAAAATGATTTTATCTCTAATTTACTAATATAATTTATTTCCTTTTCTCCCCTGTAGGGTTTCAATCAGATTCCATCTTTAACCTTTTCTACGGGCCTTATCTCCCAGAATTTCAAGAAACTATCTTGCTCAATCAACAATGAACGCAACACTGTAAGCTCAATTCAATTTCCATTTTTATGTATAATTTTTCATAGTTATAATAACCCATTTATTGGATTACGAATTTCTTTTGCTGTTTGATTTGTTATCTGTTTGGGTATCAAATTTAGTTCATGGTATTTGGTTCCTGTTAATCCATATATATTTTTTATTTATAGTGTATTGGTGGGTTGATAGGTTAATGGACCAATTGACAATGGCAACTACTCAGCAAACAATGAAGGTATTGGAATTTGGAAATAAGACATTTGTATAATGAACGGATTGTTGTTTATTCATGTAATTGTATTTGTGCTTAAAATAAGAATGAGATTGATTTGTTTATTGCTCTGTTGTTTATTTGATTTAAAGGTTCGACGGCAGGAAAGAGTGAGAGTAGTCAAGGAGAATCGTTTTCACCTAAGGAGTATTTACAACTTGCCTTTCTAATTTGTGCTAAAAACGAGTTTTTATGCGTTTTTAGGATGTTTGGTTACATGGTTTATTGTGGTTGCTCCCATTTATGCTAATTTTGATTAAGTACAATGTTCATCACAGAAACCGTCTATGTTACTTGGGCTCTTCGTTTTTCCTAAAGTTTCCATCTTATTCGGATATGAGTTTGAATTTGAGTATTTTTTAGTGTCAAATACATATCCTACCTGACACTCACCTTAAGTCCGGGTAACATATATTACTATAATCACTTAATTTGATAGTCTCCAACTAATTGATACATGCATTTCTGCTGCATGATTTTCCATTCACCATAGTCATTGTCATTGTTATGCAAGTTGCATGCTTTTTTGTTGAAGAATTGAGTATTGATAAAAGAGTGCTTGGTAATAGAAGGATTAAGATTTTGCAATTTTTCAGATTCTGGGGTATTTAAAACTTAAGCCCCCACCCTGTACTTGCAAAGCTGGCCCATGTGACATCTGTTGAAAGATGATTTCCCGGGTTTATCTTTGCATATGTATATTATTGACAGATCTGCTCATATATTGGAACATTTTGCAAATCCTGTGAACCTTGGAGGTTTCATTTTCACTTAAAAAAAAGAGTGCTCGTATTAATATCCTAGTTTTGCTTTGGCTTCAGCAGTACTGTTGGATAACCGCAAACTGTGCTTTTAAAGTTTAAACTATAATATTTTCTGTACTAGATTTATATCCATTGTATGGATTCTTCCTTTCTTTTTTTATCTCTCTCTAAATGATATTTAACACCAAAATGCAATTATCATTTAGCCATATGACATGGATTTACACCAGAATGAGAACCATACCAAATACTTTATCTCGTCTTCATTTTTTTTTGTGTATTTATGAACCTTATTATGATAAAAAGAAGAGGGCTTAGGCCATGTGGATCTAATTTTTTGGTTTGCTCTTGTTCTTGGGTTCTCAGTGTGTTGAAGAGATTGAGAAGATACGGTGTTGCCGGAGTGTTGTCTTATGGGCTACTGAATACAGCTTACTACCTTACTACCTTTCTTGTTGTATGGTAGGTATAATATTGCTTCTTTGTTAATTCATGAATTCCTTGCACGATTTCATTTGGCATGTATAATGCATTATAGAATTAAGCTCTACTTCATAATTGCCTTTCACTGGTCATTTGGCATGTGTAAAACTAGAACATTATTAGGGTTTGATCGGCATCTTTCTTTTCCTATTCACTCTGAGGGCACAATGTGTCTTACTTATCTAATCAACCATGTTTATTTGTGTTGCATGCTGAGTAGATTTCATGTTCCGTACACATTGAAAGGAAATATTTGACAAGAGCCAAGCTACATCAAAGTTGCTCTTGTACACATCCATAATTGGGCTAAGATGATTTTTTAATGAGTAACAATAAAACAGTTATCTGTTTCATATATAGTCACCCTACTTAGGTGCTCTGCATGCATTATAATGTAGTTATTGTAACAAGAAGTCTTTATGCTTCCTTTTTAGGTTTTATGTTGCCCCAGTACCAGGAAGAATGGGTTATATGGCAGCCGTTGAGAGGTAATATCTCATCCTTTTCATTGTTTATGAGAATGCAGATGATATGAGCACTCTCCGGCCTTGCAGACTTCTCAAGATTATGGCCATGGTTTGGGCCGGAAGCCAAGTGACTAAGCTTATTAGAGCAGGAGGGTGAGTTGATAGAATTTAAATGTTTTTCCCTAAAAGTAGTTTGTTCAGAATCTTCTGTGGAACCGATAATTCCCAATTAGTCCTCTATTGCAAGTAATTTGTTTTTAATTAAATCCTTTTATTTAATCATTTTAGATTTTGTGGGGATGGGAGGAAATGATGGACCTTTATCATGTAAATGGGTCATTTCTGTACATAGTGGTTTGGGCATTCTATTACTGAGCCAAATGCAGGAATTTATTTATTTATTTTTTTGATTAATTTGGGATAAATATAAGTTAATATCTATTAAAAGTTAACTCTCAACCATTTGATATTGAATGCTCACAACCCTGCATTTATGGTGCTCGAACCCGGGACCTCAAGGAATAACAACAATTCTTTTACTACTGAGGTCGCTTGGTTCGTGCTAAATGCAGGAATTTAGTTGATCTGCTTAGGATATGTTTTAATAACCTCTGATCTAGCATATGCCAGCTCCTTGTGCTTCTGCCGTATCGTATGTTACTTAGACTCGGGTTTGAGTGTCGGATACACGTATGTTCAGTTTTCTCCTAGTTTTTCTATGTATTTGGAGGGTCCTTGGATTTATGTCGTCGTATGCATGTCCAATTATATCAGACATAGGTATTTCAAGTAATGAAGAGTACCTACCCCATGCTGCTTCTTGTTGAGTGACCATAGTTCCATAGTCTCTTAGCTGTTCTTAATGGGTCCAAAAACTGTTATATGTCTCTCTTGTAACTGTAAATATGAGATCACTACAGTATATTCCATTTAAAGAGAATTGTTCTACATCAAAATCCATTTAATTCTATGTTGGTGTTTTTATTGCAGGGCCCTTGCTCTTGCCCCCCTTGTTGACAGAGGGTTGTCATGGTTCACCCTCAGATTTAAGTTCGATTCACAGGGAAAGGTACCCGACACTTCACTTTGAAATTCTACTTTATTATCATGTCAGCCAGCATCTCTGAATCCTCTCAAAATGTCTCCAGGCTTCCATGGTGATTGTAGGATTTTGTTTTGGGTTGGCTTTGATGCTGTTTTTGGTTGTGACTGTGCTCTGGGCATAGGTTATTCGGTTTGCCTTACTTCCTAGTAAAGATCTTAGTAGCTCCACAATTTTGGTTTCATATTGCCGTTGAGAGAAGCTAAGAAAAAAGTGTATTTAAAAAGTATTATAAGGTGTTGTGAAGATTATGAAAAAATGGGTTTATAAATATATGCAAAAGTTGATGCTATTTGATTACTTTAGGGTAAACTATATAAATAGTCCCCGGACTTTTAATGCCTTTGTATTTTGGTTACTAAACTTTTAAAATTTGTGATACAATCGTTAAATTTTTAATTCACTCTCATTATGACTGTTGCCCCCAGTTTCCGTTAAAGAAAATTAACGTTACGCGTTAACTTAATAGTCCGAATGTTAGATTCACCAAAAGTTCCTTTTGTTTAAATTTCCTTTATTCTTTATATTTACTGCTTTGCAAAAGTTCGTCGTCGTGGGAATGCCAGGATTTTTTTATTATTAAAAGTTGAGTTTATTGAATTAGGATCAAATTGATAATATATAAAAATTTTAAGATTAAAACAATTATTATATCAGGTCATGTTAAAAATAGTACATGAACTCGACCTAAATATTACATCTCTCAACTTGCATTTGATAACTCGAATTGACATATATAATTTTCATTTTTATTAATATGGATCTAATTAAAAAAAAATATACAAACAGGGATAATGCAAATATTCCTATATATATAATAATAATAATAAGTATACTATTTTTCTTGGGCAGGGTCGTTGGATTAAGTTTTTTACTATACAATTGAATTCAACCTGATTCGATCTTATCTTTAAAAAAAATATGATCAAAACCTGAATTTTCAAAAGAAAAGTCAAACTTTATAAGATCATATCGAAATTAGTCAAATTTGAATTGAATGTCTATTTTTAGACAACATCATAATCTTTGTTAACTATTAAAATTAATATTAATGATCAAAATAAAATAAATATATAATCTTATTAATATAAATAAAAAATAGTTTAAAAACTAAAGTAAAAGCACCATTATAATTTGATGACCAATTAGATATATTTACTAAAAATGAGGTCAAACCTAGACCAATATAGACCAACTAGAGCATTGTCCTTACAAAATCTAGTATCTTACAACTATCATTTCCTTTTTTGCCGTCGTTATATGGAGTATATATTTTAATAGTTGAACAAAATTTCTCTCTTTATTTTGGAACAGTAGAAGTGTGGGTTTCCCAATTATTTTACTAGGTTTTTTATGAAGCAGATAGCTGGTTAAAATTTCTATCGAGAAATCTTTCAATTTCCCCTTTTTCTTTTGTTTTTGTTGCGCTGATTCTCTCGGAAGCATGGGAAGAAATGTCATCTCAGATGAAGAAGGTTCCCTTTTGCTTTTGACCTAATATCAAATCCCTAGCTTTTCCCCCTTTAATTTTCGCTAACGAAGATATTTTTTATTTTATTTTGGTGTTCAATTCTTGCAGATGAGTTGGAGGTCGATGAGGAAGGAGAGCCCATTGAAGGAGAAGGTCTCAATGACCGCGACCCTGATGAGGATGAAGAAGACGGTATTTCTTCGTTTTTTGGATCTAATTTCTCGTTTATGAACTGCAGTATGGTTTTCTAAATTCTGGGTTCTGCTATTTTCAACTAAAATTTTTAAGAGAAATAATGAAAAGCAAAAGGAAATTAGGGCTAAATGGCGCGATGTGTATTCTATCTGGATCTTTATAAGGCTTTTTGTAATGATTATTGAATTCGTTGTAGTTATTTATTTATTTTTGGTTTTTGTTAGTAGATCTAATTTGTGGTTTCAGAACTGGGAATAATTTTGTAAACTCTGAGTTCTTATTGTTTAGTTTTTTTTTTTTTTGAGAAATAGTGAAAAGGAAAAGCAAATTAGGGCTAAATGGCATGATGGGTTTTACATTCGGATTTTTTTAGCTGTTTTTTTTTTATGATTCTTGAATTCTTTGTAGTTATTTATTTATTTTTATTTGAACAGAAGAAGGTCAAGATGAGTATGAGAATGATGGATTCATAGTTGATGATGTGGAGGATGAAGAGGTAGATGAAGATGAAGAGAGGGAAGATAGTGACGAGGAGAGGCGGAAGAAAAAGAAAAAAAGAAAGAAGAAGTTAATATTTTTTCCTTCCTATGATATGTGGTTGCCACATTTATCCGAAAGAAAGATTGAATGTTATTTATTGCAATTCTTCTTTTTTTTTCTTTTAAAGAAACTTATACGATGCTGTTAGGTCTTACAGCTGGGCATCGCAAATTTATGATGTTTGTATCAATGTTTTCAGGGAAGCTGAGGACCTTGATGAAGATGACTATGAGCTCCTCCGGGAGAATGACGTTAATGTACCAAAGGTTGTAAGATTTTGTTCCCTTGCCTTAATGAAGACATGATGATTGCTAATTTCTGTTTTATGTAGGGGGTCGATCTCTGGATGTATATTGGTTTTTTTATGTTTAATGAAATCCTAAGGCACTCTTTTCCTCCTTCCGCTGATTAAGGAGCTTATCTATAAGTCCCTCTAATCAAGAAGGAGGTTTTTAACGAGGCCTTCAATTCCTATAAAAAAAATGATTGCTAATTTCTAAATTATCTAATCATCTAAGTTTCCAAATGGGAATTTTTACATCATTTAAGTTATTTTCGTTGTTGTTGAAATAATGTTATGGTTAATTCTACTGATTGGTTTTATCCCTGTTGAATGAATTTCGTTATAATAATAAAAAATAAACTGAAGATAATGGTTCAAATGATGTTTTCTTGCATGAATTGATTAACTATTTATTTGAGGTTTATGGTGTTTTTTTCTTTCAGGGAAGCAAGAAATTTAAGCGGTTGAAAAAGGCTCGTAGAGATTTCGATGAGGATCAGTTTGGACTATCCGATGATGAGTTTGATGGAAGCATGAAAGGGGGTGCAACTGCTGAGGAAAAGCTTAGTCGTACTCTATTTGGTGATGATGATGGTTTGTCCATTGAGCATATTGTCCATGATCATTATTATTTGGATGCTGTTTTGAAGAACTGTTAATGGTTGGCATTCGTAATGTTTTAGGACAACCACTTGAAGATATTGCTGAAGATGAAGAGCCCATAGAAGAGGAAGAGGATGGAGACATGGGTGAAGAAGATGAAATGGCGGACTTTATTGTAGAAGAAGATGAGGAGCATGGAGCTTCTGTTAGGTACACCTTGTGTACTTCATGATATGCTCCTATACTGTCCTTTTTATATTAATTTTGGACTTTAGAGTTCTCTTATAACTTGTTTTATAGACGGAAGAAGATGAAGAATAAGAAGTCGAGGCATGCACCGGATGTGTCATCATCTGCTTTAAAGGAAGCTATAGATATCTTTGGTGATGTGGATGAACTCCTCTTGCTACGGAAACAGGGCTTAGATTCTGTTGAGCAAAAAGAAGGGAAACTTGAAGATCAATTTGAACCTACTGTTCTCTCTGAAAAGTACATGACGGAAAAGGATGACCAAATTCGGATGACTGATATTCCAGAAAGAATGCAGGTTTGTTGAGAATGTTTTAAAAAATGTTCTAGATATATTTTCCTTTATCACTCCTAATACAAGTCATGATTGGCTTTACATTTATTTTTCCAGATTTCAGAAGAAAGCACTGGCCCTCCTCCAGTAGATGAACTCAGCATAATTGAAGAGAGCACCTGGATATATAATCAGCTTATAAATGGTGCTGTACCATTATTTGGTAAAGAAAGGAAGGATCATTTTATAGACAAGGATGACATTATGAGATTTTTGGATCTCACACATGTGCAGAAGTTAGATGTTAGTACTTACTAACTTTATTGAAATGACTAATCTGTTACTTTGGTTTATGTTTTCTTTGTATTCTAGCGTTCTTTCTTGCTTGCAGATTCCCTTTATTGCAATGTATCGCAAGGAGCAGTGCCTTAGTCTTCTACAAGATCCTGAGCAACACGAGGATGATGATACTGATCAGGATAAATCTGAGAAAGCTCCTACAATAAAGTGGCACAGGGTAACTGGACTTGTCATGGAACTATGAATATGTTTATTGTGTATCTAATCAAGCCATAATTTAGGAGTAGGTTTGTTTTTGTGAATAACAACCACAATGCTTCTATTTAGGTACTTTGGGCAATTCAGGACCTTGACCGAAAATGGCTGCTTCTTCAAAAGAGAAAGAGTGGTCTCCAGTCACACTATAATAAGCGGTTTGAAGAAGAATCTCGTCGGATATACGATGAAACAAGACTTAACTTGAACCAACAGCTTTTTGAGTCAATTCTTAAAGATCTCAAGGGTGCAGAGTCAGAAAGGGAAGTCGATGATGTTGATGCCAAGTTTAACTTGCATTTCCCACCTGGGGAGGTTGGTGTTGATGAAGGTCAATATAAGAGGCCCAAGAGGAGATCTCAATATAGTATTTGCAATAAGGCTGGCCTGTGGGAGGTTGCGAACAAGTTTGGATACAGCGCTGAGCAACTTGGGGCGCATCTATCTCTGGAAAAGATGGTGAGTATGATTTTTAGTTCTCATTGTATTGTATTGAGATTTAATGATCTTGCTTCATTTAATTGTAGGAAGATGAATTTGAAGATGCGAAAGAGACACCCGAGGAGATAGCTTCAAACTTTACATGTGCTATGTTTGAGACTCCACAAGCTGTCCTTAAAGGAGCCAGGCATATGGTATACACTGTTATTCTATAGAAAATACTGTACTATTTGTTGATCATAAATCTTGTACCATGTATAGTTATATATGGTTTTAATTTCCTAGGCTGTGGTTGAGATTAGCTGTGAGCCGTCTGTCAAGAGATGTGTTCGCAATATCTTTATGGATCATGCTGTAGTGTCAACCAGCCCTACTCCTGATGGAACAATAGCCATTGATTCTTTCCATCAGTTTGCCAGTGTGAAGTGGTTGCGTGAAAAACCTTTGATCAGATTTGATGATGCTCAATGGCTCCTTATCCAGAAGGCTGAAGAGGAGAAGCTTCTTCAAGTAACTATTAAGCTGCCTGAAAAAAATCTAAACAATTTGATTAAAGAATGTAACGAAAATTATCTTAGTAATGGCGTTAGCAAATCTGCTCAACAATGGAATGAGCAGAGAAAGCTGATACTACATGATGCTGTTTTTGGTTTTCTTTTGCCCTCAATGGAGAAAGAAGCAAGATCCTTGTTGGCGAGTCGAGCTAAGAACTGGTTACTTTTGGAGTATGGCAAGGACTTGTGGAATAAAGTTTCTGTGGGGCCTTATCAAAGGAAAGAAAATGATGTTAATTCCGATGAGGAAATTGCTCCACGAGTCATGGCTTGCTGTTGGGGCCCTGGGAAGCCAGCAACCACTTTTGTGATGTTGGATTCATCTGGGGAGGTGCTTGATGTGCTTTATACTGCTAATCTTACATTGCGGTCTCAAAATGTACATGACCAGAAACGCAAAAAAAATGATCAGCAACGTGTTTTGAAGTTCATGACTGATCATCAACCACATGTTGTTGTTCTTGGAGCTGTGAATTTGTCTTGTACTCGATTGAAGGATGATATCTATGAGGTATGCTTATCATTGTTGGGATGTTAGGTATTATCTCCTTGCATCTAAAATGATTTAGGCCCTTATCTTTTAGTTTTGTTTTCTTTAGTAATATACAAAAGTTATTGTTTTTTGTCTCTACTTGTTAGGTTGCTAATCTTTGCTTTGATATGCCTTTAGTCTATATAGCCTTGAGGAGGTAGAATATCCTTAATCAAGTGCATGAATCATTTTAGAATATATAATTGTCTTTTACTAAAGATGGTTCAGTCGGATTCTGAGTCTAATTTCTTAAAGCCTTGAGGAGGTAGATTACCTTTCATTGAGCTCTGAGTGACTAAATGTTTAGTGATCAATGTACTATATCTCTCATATAGCTGGTTGATTTTTTAATGTTGTTTTCTTTACCAGATTATTTTTAAGATGGTGGAGGAAAATCCTAGAGATGTTGGGCATGAAATGGATGAGCTGAGCATTGTATATGGGGATGAATCTCTACCCCGGCTCTATGAAAATTCTAGGATTTCATCAGATCAGCTCCCTGGACAGTCAGGTAAAATAGATTCTCATATTCACAAAATAATACCCATCTTTGTGGAACTTTTTCATAGTAATTTTTTTATCCATCTTTGTCTGTTGAAGATGTTTTATCTTTTATTATGAATGATGTCAGGCATTGTTAGGCGGGCTGTTGGGCTTGGGCGCTATCTCCAAAATCCGTTAGCAATGTTTGCCACTTTGTGTGGACCAGGGAAGGAGATACTCTCCTGGAAGCTTAATCCACTGGAAAACTTTCTCACGGCTGATGAGAAGTATAACATGGTTGAACAGGTTTTGGTTGATGTCACAAACCAGGTGGGCCTAGATGCTAATTTGGCTGCAAGTCATGAATGGTTGTTTGCACATTTGCAATTCATTTCTGGTCTTGGGCCTAGAAAGGCGGCATCACTGCAGAGATCACTGGTAAGAGTTGGAACAATTTTTACTAGGAAGGACTTTCTGTCTACCCATGGACTTGATAGGAGGGTGTTTGTCAATGGGGTAGCCTTTCTGCGCGTCAGACGAAGTGGGCTTGCTGCCAACAGCAGCCAGTTCATTGATTTGTTGGATGACACGAGAATACATCCAGAATCTTATCTTGTTGCCCAAGAGTTGGCCAAAGATGTTTATGACGAGGATCTTAAGGGCGACAATGACGATGAGGATGCATTGGAGATGGCAATAGAACATGTTAGGGATCGGCCTGGTTTGTTGAGAAGGCTTAAAATTGATAACTATCTTAAAAGCAAAAGCAAGGAGCGACAAAGTAAGAGGGAGACTTTTTATGATATAAAAAGGGAATTAATTCAGGGTTTCCAGGATTGGCGTACCCCTTATAAGGAGCCAAATCAGGATGAGGAGTTCTTCATGATTTCAGGTGAAACTGAGGATACCCTTGCAGAAGGCCGAATTGTGCAAGCTACAGTACGCAGATTGCAAGGCGGACGAGCTATATGTGCACTTGAATCTGGATTGACTGGGATGATTATGAAAGAAGACTATGCAGATGATTGGAGAGATATAGTCGAGTTATCTGACAGGCTGCATGAAGGTGACATATTGACCTGTAAGATTAAATCAATTCAGAAGAATAGGTATCAGGTGTTCCTGGTTTGCAAAGATAGTGAGATGAGAAGCAATCGACACCAGCATGTCCAGAACCTGGATCCCTACTACCATGAGGAGCAAAGTAGCCTACAAAGTGAGCAGGAGAAAGCTCGTAAAAAGAAGGAGCTGGCAAAGAAGCATTTTAAGCCCAGGATGATTGTCCATCCACGCTTTCAAAATATTACTGCTGATGAAGCTATGGAGGTATGTAACAAGTAATGGATCTCTTAACGTAGATTCAGTTGAATTGAATTTATTATATAAAGAAAATTAAGACACCCGTAGAATATACAAAACTACCCCTCCCCCACCCAAGTTGTGTCAAGGAGTGTGTGCACAGACAATGTATTTGTGCCTTAATGCAATGCACCAAAAGCATCTCTAAACCCATTTTGGTGCATAGAAGACTGCAAGTGTAAAAAACCTGCAGTACTGAAGCTCTTCAATTTATTTTAGTTTTACTTTCTTTGTTAATTATACCTTTACTAGTAAGAATGGGCATAATATCAAAATCTACTAATCATTTCTTGAGTATTCAACAATAGACATGGGATCATAAGGAAACCATGCATACTGGGCAATGTAAGAAAAGAATGCCTAGCTTGTTTTGTTAAAATCATAATTATATATCTTTATTGTATCATGTATATACCTGAGACATACAAATATAGACTAATATACATGCATCATCTTAAGGACGAGTGCTGTTTTTTGCATCTGGTGCCTCAGGTAATATTAATGTTGTTGCACCTAGGGTGTGCTTTGCACCAACACTGCACATCCCTATATGACTTGAATCTTTTGTGAATCTGTCGCACATCAGGCAGCCTTTTGGATGAATTTATTATCCAAGCCTGCTTGTGAGTTTTGGTTGCTTCAGTTTGTGAATCATTCTCAATACTTTCTTCTTTTTATACTTATGCTTATTTAGGCTTTTAATATGTTGGACAGTTTTTATCTGACAAGGAGCCTGGAGAAAGTATTGTCCGCCCCAGTTCTCGTGGACCTTCTTATTTGACTTTAACTCTCAAAGTTTATGATGGTGTTTATGCTCACAAAGATATAGTTGAAGGTGGAAAAGAACACAAGGATGTCACCAGCCTGCTTCGCATTGGGAAGACATTAAAACTTGGGGAAGACATTTTCGAGGACTTGGATGAGGTAAGTCTATCTTTAAAATGCTTGTTTTTCCTGGTATAACCCTTAAACTTTGAAGGGATGTGATTTATGCGGAAATAAGCAAATAAGCATGGTGCCTAATGAGAGTTAGGTTGCAGTGGGAGACTTTTCCAGTTGTAAAACTAACTAATCATAAACTAAAGGATGAACTTTTGAATTTGACCACAGGGGCTCAAAGACTAATTGTTATTTTTTTGATCCACCAGACAAAAATTCTGCCAGTCCATGCTTTAAATCTCGAGTTCCATTAGAGAATTCTAAACTTGGAATTAATTATATGTTGTAGATGCATCAAAATCAATGTAATGGATGTGTTGATTGAATTTAAATTGCAGGTAATGGATCGGTATGTTGATCCCCTTGTTTCTCATCTGAAGGCAATGCTGAGTTATCGTAAGTTCAGGAGGGGAACTAAAGCAGAGGTTGATGAGCTTTTAAGGATTGAGAAATCAGAGTATCCTATGAGGATTGTGTACTGTTTTGGTATTTCTCATGAACATCCAGGCACTTTCATTCTTACTTATATACGGAGTACAAATCCGCATCACGAGTATGTCGGCTTATATCCCAAGGGATTCAAGTTCAGAAAAAGGATGTTTGAGGACATTGATCGTCTAGTTGCATATTTCCAGAGGCATATTGATGATCCACAGCAGGAGTCAGCTCCATCAATTAGATCAGTTGCAGCGATGGTACCAATTCGGAGCCCTGCTGCTGGAGGCTCTGCAGGGGCATCTACTGGTGGTAGTTGGGGTGGTTCAACCAATGAAGTTGGTTGGAGAGGCCAATCTTTCGACAGGGGTCAATCTTCCACCCCAGGGTCAAGAACAGGTAATCTTTCAACGTTGCAATCTTGGATGTGATACAATTATTCAAATTGATAAAATGTATCTTGTTTGGTTATTTTTTGGAGAATTATTGTTGAAATATCATTTTTCATTTTCTGAATAGAAATATTGAGATAAATATTAAAAATATTATTTGTTTAAATGTTTATTTAAACTATTAATTATTAATAATGATAAAAAAGTCATTCCTAGTCAAGAAAATCATGAATAACTGTGAAGTTCTGCTTGTTCTTTGGACAAACATTGATTTGAACAACTAAGAAAAGTTGAAACATCTAGATACTACTGCTTTTATTTTATGCATTTTGTACATTCAGGTGTTTTCCTCGTCTGGGTTGTTTGTCTGCTCCTTTTTGCCTAATCTTTAGCCGGTTTGTTTGTTGTTATAAGGCCGAAACGATTACAGAAATAGCAGTAGTCGAGACGGACATCCAAGTGGTGTACCCCGGCCCTATGGTGGGCGTGGACGTGGTAGGGGTTCATACAACAGCAGCAGAGGACATAACGAGGGACAGGATTCATCATACGATGAAACTCCGAAACGGGATTCAGGTAACAAGAAAGGGGAAGATAGCTGGGGTAATTTCCCAGGTGCTAAAGTTCAAAACTCTCCAGGTAGGGAAGCTTTCCCTGGTGGCTGGAGTGGTAGTGCTGGAACCGAAAGTGGTAGTGGTTGGCAATGACTGATGATGGTCCGGGTGATGATTTGTCCACGAAGGTGGTGTCGGTGGTTGGTGAAGACTGAAGAGGTGAGTAATGTAATATCCTTGGTAGGTGCAGGGTTTAGTTTTGATTTAAGTGTGGGAGTTGCTGACTGAATAATACAATGAAAACATGTAGCTGTACTCATAGCGTGTATATGTAATGTTATCCATGTTCCGTTTAAACGCAGATAAATCTGAGTGGCTAAATGACATGTTGAATCCTACATACGGCCAATGTATCTTTTACTTCCTTTTTGTTCTGAATATTGCTTCTCAGCATCAGCTAAAGATGTATTTTATTATTTTTTATTTATAAAAAATCACCTTTTAAATATGTTGAGATTTCTTCAATAATTTCATTGAATTCGAGATATACAATGAAATTGATACTTGCCAATTGCAATAATAAAATATTGTTTACAGTTAAATTATTGTTCTTCTATTGAAAACGGATGAAATATAAAGTATAATGGAGAGAGAGTTTTCATATGCCTTCATAGACTATTTTCTTAAATATTAAAATTCTCTGTATACTCAATGCATATAATTATTCGAATTTAGATTTTCTAAAAAAATAATATATATTTTTTTATTTTATTTTACAGACGTAACTACCTCTAAAGAAAATAACATTTCTTAACATTTATTCGATGATATGTGATAAGATAGTTTTACATTAGCATAACGAGTACAATAACATGACATGATTTGGCACAAACATATTTTATGGTAAGTGTTGGGTCTCATTTAATCAATTTTGGTGTAGGAATAGAGTGAAAAAATAGCGGTAACACTCTATCCTTGAGGTTATCTTCAATACCATGACCGTCGCCATTCCGATATATCAACAAGGAAACTCTTGTAACGTTCATAGCAGTTTTAGTAAACATCCGAGACAATGGAGATTCATCCATTTGATCTTAATTCATCTTTTTCCAGGCTTCATCAATCTACTTTCTCATGTGCTCACATGTTTTTTCTTCGGATGCTCCACTTTCATGCATATACCATTGGATTGATCTACAAACATCACCTCTTCTTGCCTCATTCTAATCAGTCCCCAAAGCAAATTATTAGACTAATTAAGGTCTGATTCTAATTTTGTTATCGATATTTCATTTTTGTCAATCAGATGATTTAAACTATTTAAATGATATTAATTAAGTCACCAATCGTTAATATTTTATGGAGGAATTGACGTGACAGTTAACTAAATTAATATAATTACACATTTGGTCCTTAATACTTATACATTCTATCAATTAGATATTCGATAGATTATGTAAGTATTGATGACCAAATATGTAATTATACCAAATTTGTTAATCGTCATGTCAACTCATTCGTTAAATGTTAGCTACGAGTGACTTGATTAACATCCTTTAAATAGTTAAGTGATTTGACTAGTAAAACTAAAAGATCGGTGATAAAATTAGAATCTCCCTGTAATTAATTGGTCGTCTAACCTATTTTTTTAGTCAGATAGAGACTAGATTTCTGGAATGAAAAGGAAAGAGAGTTACCGATGTTGTTGCTAGATCATTTGCCAATCGTAGAATCATGGAAGACCAACGGATTATACGAGGGTAATATTCCTGCATGCCTTGCAATCCCTCTTTTAATCTGTTTCCAAATAGGCATGACCAAGGAGTAGAGGACCCGATATTGAAATCCAGGCATTATCAATGTACTCTTGCAAGCTTGATTTATATCCCGCGTTATACCATCTTGCCTCCGTTACATAAGTTTTACAAAGATTTGCCCACTAAAACATTCGTTGTTCAACAGTGAATACCCGAAATTAGATGCATGGACTTCTTATGAATGAAAACTGTTGGTCAACGTTTCAAAATAGTAGTTTTTTTGCCTTAAAATGAAATATTAGAGGGTTAAAATGTTAAAAAAAAAGAATTAAGACTAAAGTAACTATTTAATAAGATGTTTTTATGAGACAAAATGCTCTAAAGAAAAGAATAAGGACCAAAACAATTGTTTAGTCAAACGTTAGGAATATTTTTTTACATTAACCCTAAAAAAATCAAGAGAAATTGATTAAATACCATATTCTTGAGGAAGGCAACAATATCAATTCCATGTTCTTGAGAGTGTCAAAAGCCACCTCATTTATTGAATTGTAAAGAGCGTGGAAACATATCTTCATATAGTTTGGAAGCTTGTGTATTGCATTGATATCCCATCTGAAATCACAACATACATTTTGGGTTTGTATTTGATGAATCATCTAATATAATCATAATAATATGATATAAATTAAATATCTCAACATCTATTGTGTCAAATCATCAAAAATGAAATACTAAATGTTATATGCTAAAGTGTATCTAAATCTATCGTTGGAGATAGTTCAAAAGATAGTTTTAATCTCTGAGAAGATAGGTTTTTATTGAATATAACTCTCTGACTGGTAAGAGAAAATACAAGTTAATCTGTTTCTTGGGGATCATTATCTCTCCATATAGATTGAATACTATGTCAATCTTTTAAGTATTTATAATTATGTCCCTCGTCAAATTATAAATACAACTTATGGTATCTACACTTTATTTTCATGACACTTCAACACATATGACACATATAACATAATTAATCACTTAATTTCGTATCATATTTTATGATATCATTGTATCTTAAGTATACGTTCTCGCAATTACATATTTTAATCTAACACTGTCAATCTATATATATCAGTTTATTAAAAGCAGTAGGGTGACAAACCTCTGAACAGCATCTGTGAAGAGCTCCAATTCATCTAAGGTGCCATAAACATCATAGACATCAACTATAGTTGTTATTAGCGCGTTGATCTTTGTTTGAATTCTTCCACCTTTTCGGAACATAGGATCAATTATGATTCCCACACTCCATAAGAAGTTTTCCATCAGCCTGTCTCTAGCGAAAGTCATTCTCTCGCCAAGACCAAGTTCCTTCCACCATCTAACTCAAAAACCAAAATCAATATTTACTTCAAAAAGCTATCTAGATATACGGATATGCAAAACTCGACTCGATTCTCGACTCGATTCGAAAAAGTTTGTAATTAGCATGAAGTAGGCATATGTACTTACCCTGAAGCATATCTCAGTTCTTCCTGGTGCGTAGCTTGGACTATGTTGAAATCCAATATAGCGAGCTCTAAAATAATGGGATTCTTGTCCTTGTTTTGCCCATACACATCTATGAACCATCTGGCTTCCAACCTTTTCATCCTTCAATGTAGAGGAAGTCCCAAGGCATGGTCCACAAGCATCGAAAGATATCGATCGTCGTCCGGCTTCGAACATTGTTTGAGAAGTTTAGCTGCTGATTCTCTTGCACTCTCCAGCTTTGTTTCACCTTCTACTAACAGGTATATATGAAGCCTCATACAGGTTGAGCAGTCCCTTGCAATCATGAGAATGGCTTGCTTTAATGTTTCCTTCCTCATCTATGAAGCTATAGAAAGCATCTATTACATGTAAAAAACCAAAAACAAAATCAAAATACATCCGAGTTTGATTGATCTTTGTTGCTGTTGTTTCACATAATGTTATGTCCATAATGTTTGACTGGTTAGTCATTTTGACCCATATTTTTTTCTTAAAACATTTTGGCCTCTAAAGTTTCATTTTTGAGGAAAAAAGACCCTGCCTTGGATGGTAACTCTTAATTAACAAATGGTAACGATCCAAAATATGATTTTTTGCTCTAAAAGCCAAAATATTTCAAAAGAATAAGAGCTAAAGTGACTATTTAATCAAACGTTAAAGTCTTTTTACCCTAAAATTAAAGTTGAGTACCAAAATACTCTAAGAAAAAGAGAATAAGAGCCGAAACAACTAATTAGTTGCATTATGCCTTGTAGTTTTTACTATTTACCTTGATTGACCTGATATCCATGTTGTCTAAGCAGTCTAAACTAGAGCTGTAGCATATAAATTGTCTTTCTTCCATGCAAGAATGCTTGGATCAGTCCTTATAATATTCTTGAAAATGTTGTTTATTTCATGTTCAAGGTGATGGGACAATCCAAGTCTTTGTCAGGTATCAATGAGCTCAAGTTTCTCCAATGGATCCACTGCATTATGAACCATCATCCTCACTTGTTCCTTCAGTTTGCTTGCCCGTTCCTTGTATGATTCACCCTATGAGCACACAGGGAAGAAATGAGTCATATATACACACACACGCGTATGGACACACGCAGAGGCACACACATACATACCTCGAGATAACCGTTCCGAAGTGACTGAAGATACTCATAATCCCAAATAGGAGGATGGTAATTAGCCGATCGTTGAACAACGACGTCTTCACCACGAGTTTTGGTGGTTGTAGCTCCACTTTGTGAAGCACAAGAAACAATGTTTAAGCTATGGAAGCTTGACCTTTTATTTGAGATGCGTTTCGTTTGTGGCTGCTTGGGGAAGCTGCACATGGGGAATGAACTAAACAGGCAAGCCATGTCTACCTCTTTTACTCATGGAGACCATATTGCACCGAGGAATAGATATAAATAGATAGACATTAATAGTTTTTCTCTATTATTACAAATGAACAAAAACGTCATTTCATCGTTCACTGTAACTATTGAAGCAAGTAGGTGTCGCCAATCAATTTTTATAATAGAGGATTGCTCTTGGAATGTGTAATTTGATTGCTCTATTAGTACACCATTATTAAAGAAAAAAAATTAGTTAGCGCGTTGGGAATCGAGAGGGCAAAAAAGCTATTTTTTTCAAAAATTAGAAAATATATGAATTCTAAAAATAATTTTTTTTTAAAAAAAAATATGAAAACATCTATTCTAAAAGTAATTAAAAAAATAAGAAATTCAAATTCAAATTTAGTAGTTAATGATCAACCAATGCTAGACAATGATTAATCAACAACTAGTCAAAATCAATCAATGATCAATCACCATTAGTCAATAATTTTTTAATATTGATCAAAGTCGATTCTTTGAGACCCAGATGATATTAGTGATGTGTTCGTATCAAACACCGATGATTTTGAGGTTTTGATAGATGCTGAGATTGATGAGACGACCTTCTTTAGGGATTTGACCATAATCCTATGAGAGATTGTTGATACCATCCCGAGGGCACAGACTGCTCCACCTGCTGCTCCATCTGTTATCGTACCGCATGAGTCTTCAGTCGACAGGCTTAGGAGGTGCAAGATGACTGACTTCTATGGTTTGGACGATGATGACCCGATTGATGTTGCCTAGTGGTTGAGGAAGAC